ATTTGCTAAAAATCTGTAAACCGCTTAGAGAGGGCTGAAAGCCCTATGAAGCGGTATATAAGTCTAATAAATAAATAAATAAATAAATAAATAAGGTTTGGGTTTTTATTTTATTTTCCATTATGCTACTGTAAATCTTAATACATCGTATTGTTTCAGTACAGTGATATTTCTGTTAATACGATTAAAGTTTATTGACATTCCATTATTTAGATAGCTTAGAGAACAGTACTAAAAATAAAGAAGAGAAAAAAAGCATTCTATCAATATTAAAGACAATTCAGAATGTCCACGTTACAAGAATAAAAATGTTTTTTTTTATTTTGAAATTGAGTACAACACTGAGGAATGAACCACTACTTCAAAATATTTTGTATGGCTGCCCATTTCACAAAAGCGATTCTGCAGGCTCCATTACCGACTGGATATATTCTTATGAAATATATTCTCAAGTTGAAATGCCTATTAACATTCAATGTCATTTTTGAAAGAACAGTTCCTAATTGGTTACTAATTAAAAAACAATGTACAAACCATTAACTTCCAACGTCAGATCTTTTTACAATTTTTATATCTTACCATACCTGAGTTAATAAGTAGGCATTGTTTTTTTTGACTGATGAAAACTTCTTGAGCCAATTGACGAATTAGGTACCATACTTTGATTCCCGACTGATAAATGTACACAGCTCTGTAAATTAATATTCAACCCTCAACGTTTCTAATCTTGGGCATATCCACCACAATTGAAATCATGCATGTTTTTCACTGCAATTATTCCAGAATAGTCTAATTGGAAGACTCTGAACGGGGATCGGAATGGGTGGAAAACGGGGCGTGCAGAGGCAGCATTAGGCAATGGCAATCCCTGCAGCCTGAAACAGCTGATGGTCGGGAGGATCCAACAGACAATCAGCTGTTTGTGCTAATCAAGCTTGCTGAAACTGGGCTGTTTGCTGTCTGCTGCAAGGAGGCAAATTGCGGGGAGGCAGAGGCCAAAGAGTGGGGGCCGGCAGGTGGGCAGGACTACATTTGGTGTATAAGACATGCCCAAATTTTCACCCTCTTTTAGGGGGGGAAAAGTGTGTCTTATACTCCGAAAAATACTGTATCTCTTTTAGAAATTTGGAAGTAATAAGTACCTTAAACTCTCAATAAACCCCACCTAAAGTCTTCTGTTAAAAAGACTTCTGCTGGCTAGTGAGCAATTTGGAGTAGTAATGAAGTAGTTGACCTAGAAATCGGGAGATTTCTAATCCTGCAGTAGACATGAAAACTAACTGGATGACTTTGGGCAAGTCATTCTCTCTCAGCCCAATTTACCTCACAAGGTGGTTGTGAGAAAACAGGAGGAGGAAAGACTATTAGCTATGCAATAGTGGTGACTATCAGTAGCTGGGGCGCAGGATGAGAGTGAAGGTTCATTCTCCGAGCTTTCTGAATGTTTCATTACCAGGCTAAGTAACATCTTCAGCAGGATTGTGATTAGGGGGAATGACAGCCGAGGTGGCGCAGTGGTTACCTATGGATGAAGGGATGAATGCCTCTGGAGACTTCTTGTAGTATTTGAGCAAGTGCAGATCAGAAGTGGTATTCAGCAGGTTCTGACCAGTTCTGGAGAACCGGTAGTGGAAATTTTGAGTAGTTCAGAGAACCGGTAAATAAAATATCGTCTCTGACTGGCCCCACGACAATCTATTCTCTGCCTCCCGACTCCCAGCTGATCTGGAGGGAATGGAGATTTTACAGTATCCTTCCCCTACAAACACCCCTGAATTAGACTTCTATGCATCTGGAGAAAAAAAATTGGTTTCTCTAATTGTATTGGTCAATCCCAATACCTAAGTTTGGACTGGTTTTTTTCCCAACAACACCGAAGAAGAAAATTCAACTATAGTTATAGTTATAGTTATAGTTTTATTGATTTGTATGCCGCCCACTCCCGAAGG